AGGCTGCTGTGGGTGGATGTGTGGGTGCAGCCCACCCGTGAGTGCTTGCTGACAGCTCACACTGGGAGCCGTAGGCAGGCTCCTCCAGACCAGAGCTGTTTTATTTGCCTTTCTTTGGGGTGCTGGCTGTGCCCAGGGGTTTGGGGGTGTCTGTGTGCCATGGTCAGTGCAGATGCTCAGCTGTGAGTGACCCTGGAATGGCTGCAGGAGCACACGAGGACAGCAGTGACTGCTCGTCCTCCTCCACACGCCTCAGCGGGGCTGTCTGTCATCCACCGAGGTGTAAGAAACGGCAGATGATGTCTTAAAATACAGAGTAAAAATATTCAATATCCTTCTGCCTCTTCAGGAGTGTTGCCAGCTCCACTTCTTCCATCTGGGAACGGGCAGGTGTCTGTGAGACTTCTTTGTCCTTGTGTTCCCCACGAGGCTGGTGGCCAGGGTACTCCTAGTAGGAGCAGTCATCTACTTTCCCTCTGCTGTGGGGTTAGTGCCCTGCATGCAGGGCTGGCTTACCCCTCCTGGTCGAGAGCAGAGGTTTCCTGGGCATTGCAGCCCCATGGCAGCTTTGTTCTGGTTTGTGTCTGTTTTACATCTCAGTGCCTTCAGTGCATCAGAGCTGTGAGAAGGGCACACCATGGGTATTTCAGAGTCACCTGGTTCTTAGCAGTGCTTTATCTCTGACTCGGGACATAGAGGGGGGAGCTGGGGACATGTGCAACTCTTTTCTGTCACCCAGCGTGCTCAGCCATGGGCACTATGTCCCCTTCCACAGCAGGGTCCTGTCCTATCCTGGCTCTGCTCCTGTTCCACCCCAGGCTCCCCAGCCCTCACCCACTGCTCCTGAGTTTGTGCTGCCCCTGATGGTCCTGCCTGACCTGTCCCTACTCCCCGTTCTCTCCCTGCTCTCTCTGATGGCTCTGAGTGGTGTTGCACCTCCCTCCAGGGTAGCTAAGCCACTCTCTTGCCTCTGTAGTCCTGTCTAGGACAGAAGCTGAGGTGTCAGTGAGCCCCACAGTGCTGGTGGTCACTGACTGTCACTGCAGGAGTGCTCTGGCTCCCACAGCCCGGGGCTGCTGCCCATGCTGGTTGGCCCCTGGAGCCCCACGTGTGGTCTGCAAGGGATGGCAGGAGCTCTGTGCCCACCTCACCTGTGTCATCCCTCCCAGGAACAAGGACACGACCAGGGACGAGTTTATCTTCTACTCCAAGCGCCTGATGCGGCTGCTGATCGAGCATGCCTTGTCCTTCCTGCCCCTGAAGGTGAGTGCCCACTGCTGGGGGCAGCCCCAG